TGAGAAAGAAATTAGGAAAACAATCCCAGTCACAGTAGCATCAAAAAATTAAATACCTAGGAATAAACCTAACTAAGGAGGTGAAAAAACTGTATTGTGAAAACTTTAAAACACTGAAGAGAGAAATTGAAGAAGATGCTAGAAGATGGATCAGCAGAATTAATATTGTGAAAATGGCTGTACTACCAAAAGCAATCTACAGGTTCAATGTAATCTCCATCAAAATTCCAATGACATTCTTCAGAGAAATGGAAAAATCAATCCTAAAATTTATTTGGGAACACAAAAAGACTCTGAATACCCAAAATGATCCCAAGCAAAAAGAGCAACACTGAAGGTATCACAATACCAGACTTCAAACTATACTACAGAGCCATGGCAATAAAAACAGCCAGGTAGATCAATGGAATAGAAGCTCCAGAAATAAAACCACACAGCTATGGCCAGCTGATATTTGACAAAAGCACCACAAACCAATGCTGGGAAAAGATAGTCTCTTTAACCAATGCTGTTGGGGAAACTGGATATCCACATGTAGAAGACTGAAACTAGACCCGTCTCTCACCCTGTACAACCAGTTCTAAATGGATCAAAGATCTTAGTGTAAGGCCTGAAACTGTCAAACTGCTGGAGGAAAACACTGGGCCAATATGAAGATGGAGTCATAGGTAATGCTTTTCTTAGTACACCCCTGATTGCTCAGAAAATAATAAGAATTGAAACATGGGATTGCACCAAATTAAAAAGCTTCTGCACAGCCAAGGAAACAACTACCAGGGTCCAAAGAAAATCTACTGATTGAGTGGAGATAGGTCTTTGCCAGTTATTCATTGGGTAAAGGATTAATACCCAGAAAATATAAAGAGCTCAAAAGATTAAACACCAAAAGAAAAAATAATCAAATTAATAGATGAGCAAATGAACAGCTTTCTAAAGAAGTGCAAATGGCTACCAAACACATGAAGAAAATTCAACGTCCTTAGTCATAAAGGAAGTGCAGATCAAAACCACACTGAGATTTCATCTCACTGCTTCAGAATGACCATCATCAAGAACACAGCAGCAGGGTGCTGGTGGCTCACGCCTGTAATCCTAGCTACTCAGGAGGCAGAGATCAGGAGGATTGTGGTTCGAAGCCAGCCCTGGGCAAATAGTTCTCAAGACCCTATCTCAAAAAATCCCAACACCAAAAAAGGGCTGGTGGAGTGGCTCAAGGTGAAGGTCCTGAGTTCAAGCCCCAGTGCCGCAGAAAAAGAAAACAACAGATGCTGGCAAGGATGGGAGAGAGGACCCCATGCACTGTTGGGGGGATGTGAATTAGTGCGGCCACCATGGAAATCAGTATGGAGGTTCCTCAAAAAACTAAAGGTATGATCCTGGTATACTCCTGGGCACATAGCTGAAGGAACAAAAGTCAAGACACCTGCACACCTGCGTTTATAGCCTTCACAATAGCCAAGCCATGCAATCAGCCTCAGTGTCCATCAGCTGGTGACTAGATGAAGAAAATATAGTACACGCACACACGGATTACTCAGCCATAAAGATGAATGAAATTACGTCATTTTCAGGAAATTGGATGGAGCTGGATAGAGTTCATTATGTTAAGTGAAATAAGCCGGATTGAAAAAGACAAATACCGCACATTCTCCCTCATATGCAGAATCTCGTTTTTAAAGATGAGGAACAGGAATGTCAGGTAGGTCGTGTGTTGGGGTGATTACAGTGGTGGGGGGAGGCGAAAGGAGAAGGAGAACGGCTGAAGTCATTCCCATGTGTGAAAATAGAGCCAGAGGCCTGTCAGAGCCGTTTTATGTCTGCTTGCACGACACTCTGCTCTTCTGCCCACCCTGCGGACTGTGACGTTCATTCTTCCATCACACGAGACAAAGTTCCCGACGACTACATTGCACCTGAGCCGAACGCCACAACACTGCTGCCGGATTTATTCAGTCTTTAAAATTCCGAGGCAATCCTTCCCAGTCGTTTTATGTTCAGTTTGCATTACAGTGAGATAAAGACAGCAAATGTTAGGTTGTTTCTTAAACTTCCTCCACTGGCCAAATAAAACCTAGAAGCATTTTTAAGACTCGCTCTGAGGTCATCGAGGCTACAACCAACCTCTCTGAATATGAAGACCCGAAGAAAAGGGTGGAAGGAGGAGCAGGTTCAGACAGACCAGAGCTTCTGTCTGTTCCAGTCGTTCTTTCTCCCGGGTTGTGTGGCAGCCACCGCACACAAGAGCCAGGGACGGAGTCACAGAAGTAGACACGTTACAGTAATCATCTGACTGCCGAATCTCGTGGGTATCTTGGACAAAGTGTGTCACTTCCAGATTCCGTGTGGCTTTGCACCCACACCCTCTCCTAGGTGCTGGCGGTACATTTGTGAAGCAAAGCTCCCCACGGACCTCACACTGCAGCGGGAGAACCGGAGATGTCCACCAGATGCACAGCAGACGTCCACAGGGCCTGGGTTCCGCTCTCAGTGTGTGCGGACTGACTTCAGCACTTCTCGGCGCCTGGGATTCTTTCCCTGACTCCTGCCTCAGGAGGAGACAAGCATCTCGTGAATCTGAAGCTGTAGTCGAGGTGGGAGGAAGGCCGAGGTAGGCCCACAGGAACGTCCTCCATGGGGTGTCTCAACCAAAGACCTTTCTGGCATCCAGGGGGGAGGAAAGCTTTCAAGTTATTGCCACCTAGCAAGGCCCCCACGTGCAATCACAATTGCCCATCAGCACTTCCGTAGGGCGCATTTACAGCACAGAGGTGAACAAACCTCAGAATCAGCTGACAGCCGTCCCATATTACTCAGGAAATCAAGGCAGCCATGGAGTCCAGATGAGAAGGATTCAGCCTACAACTGGAAGCTGTCATGAACATTGGAAGAACGTGGGACCAGCATCAGAGGGGTCAAGAGCCAACACAGGTCCTAACTGAAAGGTCCAGCGTTCCCAAGCTCTCAGCTCTGCAGAAGAGCTAGCCAGGAACTGCTGTGAAACTTCCCATCATCCCATTCTGGCTGCTACTCCTCTGTTTTGTTCCCTGCCTCACATGAATATCTACCATTAGCAAGTTGTAGGGAAGGGGAGCTGAGAAATGTGGCACGTTGGCTTTCTGTTGCTGTGACAAAATACCTAATGTAACCAGCTTATAAGGACTTATTTTGACTCTTGGTTTCAGTCCATGGTCAGTTGGCTCTGTTGTTTTGCGGCCTGTGAGAGGCAGCCTATCGTGCCAGGCAGTGTGGTGGAGCAAAGCTGGTGGTCTGGGAAGCAAAGAATGAGAGAGGGGGGTTCAGATCCCAATACCCTTCAAGTGACCTGGCTTCCTTCCAAACAGGCACTACCTCTTCAAGGTTCCATCATCTCCCAGTAGTGCCACAGATTGGTGATCAAGCCCTTGACACTGGGCGTGGGGAACACTTAAGGTCCCAACCAAAACACATGGTTCCTGCCTGGCGTGTCTACAATGAAGACAAACCCTTTGTGGAAGGTGGTGTTGAGGTCAGGCTGACAGCCAACAATCCAGCTCATGTACCTTCTTGAAGTGTCCCCATGCAGATCGCACCCCACATCCCACACGCTAGCCTGCAAACCTCAGTAGGCCGTCTCTGCTGTCTGACGGCCTTCCCACGAGCCAACCTGTAGGATAAATGACCTGGGCTTTCTGCCTGTGTTTCAACCATGGTTCTTGCTAAGATGCCCTGCTCAGGCTTTGAAATCATAAAAGTTAAGCTTAAGATGGGGAATTACGAATGAAAACGGCGTCCTTGACATTGGGTGTCCCAAACAGCTGAGGCCAGCTGCTGCTTTCAGGAGACAGACCAAGCTTTGCCTGGGAGGATGTGCCAAACACTTTCCTCACTGGGCCCAGCCTAGCTTGGTCACCTCCAGAGCAGCCAGGATGGCTTTGCAGCTGGGGAAAGTCAAACATGGCCAGAGGGCAGCAAAACCCTAGGATTTTGCAAGTTTTTCACACGACCTTTTCCTTCCAGACTCCTGTATTTCTTCTCTGAAGGCAGGAAATGTGACAGAATTGTCCCACTGGTTGGGGAGAGGGGCGGTAGGGAAGAGGCATTTCGGAAGTCAGTAAGGTCACACTGAGGTGTGGGTATGTGAGTACTCAGGCCTCTCTTCCTTATTTGTAAATGGCAACAACCGGTCCCTCCACCAGAGTTCACCCGGGGATTAAATAGCAGCGCATTCTGTGCTCACCACTGCCTGCTGTAGTCAGCTTCTGAAAGTGTGTTCTGGGTGAGACTGGGCTGGGCCTCATTTCCCCGAGGAATTTAGAAGGGATGGAGAACCCCTTTCACAGTGTCTGCGTGGTCGCAGGGCGCCCACCTTTCTTTAGGAAGGAGAGGAGGACAGAAGACAGACAAGGACAGATGTGGGATGAGCTGGTGCTCCTGGAGACAGCCAGATTGGCAAAGCCCGTGGGGGATTCGCACCTGGCCTCTGACCGGGAGTGGAAACCAGACAGATCTCAAAGACCTTGGACTCACTCCTTCCCAGTCCTCAGAAGGAGAGAGAGCCTGGACAATGTACGTTTTCTGGTTTTTATTTTTCACTTTTTTATTGAGGCCAAACAAAATACAGTGAAGTATACAAGTTTCAGTGCACAGGTTGACGCCTTCTCAGTGCGTGAATACCTTATGAATTTTTCACTCCGGTCAAAATAAAGGGGACTTCTAGTACATTAAAAGGCTCCCCGCGCCCCTTCCTAGCTACCCCTCGCCACCCACCCACCCAGAGGTATCGACCCTTCCAACTTCTACCACTGACTTCCCGCTTGCTCTTGGATTTGTGCAAATGGAACTTGTGCCTGGCTGCTTTCATTCACCTTCTACAGCGGTGCCACCATTCTACGGGCAGTGGAGCGTCTGGGGCCATCATGACTAATGCTGCTATGACTATTCTTATGCTGTCTTTTGGGGACACCTTCGCCAGCTGCACGTACTTGGATGGGCGTCGCCGGGTGCCAGGGTCCCGCTGCCCGCTAGTTCTTGAACATGTCACAGAGGAGTTTCTCCATGGGCGCGTTCCCTATGGTCTTGCGGAAGAAGAGGAGCTCGATGCGCTCCGGCGACATAGACCTCAGAGACGGGAGCAGGAGGAGCAGCTTCCCAAACCTGAGCAGGAGAAGGCCACCGTGAGGCTCACTGCCAGCGTCACCGAGTGAGTCACAGCCCTCGGCGGTGCCCTTCGGGGAAGGCAGAAGGAAGGAGAGGACAGATGAAGGTCCCAGGACCAGGAGGGATTTCAGGAAAGACCCCATGCGCTCCGGGCTGGAGGCGGGCTCAAGTGGAAGAGCACCAGCCTTGCAAGCGTGAGGCCCTGAGTTCAAACCCCAGTACCGCCCCCCCCCAGTACCCCTGCTCCCCTCCCCGACCCCGAGTTAGGAGTGCGATGGAGACCGGGCAGGCACCGCTCACTCTGTGTGACGGTTACAGACTCAGAGGTTATTTGTATCAATCCTGCATGCGACTGTACGAATTATCACGTGCTTATAATTAGGAGACCTTTCATAGAGAAGAATATAAATTCCTGGCTGGGAAACACCTAAGCCGATAGCAGGCATTACTGCAAGAGCTCTGAAGACACGCGCCCGGAAAAACGCTCGCTGCAGCTTAAAAGAAGAACCACTTGCTAAAGCAGGGGTCTCGGGGAAACGAGAAAGGTGGATGGGGGATTAGGATTAGGTCTTCCCTGGGTGCCAGACTGCACCTGAGTTGAGACTGAACCCCAAGGGGCAGTCGCTCACTCAGCTCCTGCCCGGAGAGCTGTGGGAGGCCCCGAGCTACATCCTTGCTGGGAGGACATTTTGTCCCCACTGCCACTCCAGTCCACATGAGGTTCCCCCCCACACACATCAGATGTGAGTTCTGGCAAGCATTCAAAGTCCTGCTGAGGCCGAAGCCCGGGGTTAATCTGCTACCTTCTTGCTGGCAGGAATCTTTGGAACCTTCCAAACGGGGAGCCTGTCTAAGAACACATTGTGCTAGCCTCTCTCTTTCTTTCTAAATGAAGTTTTCTCTTTTGTTACACCCTGTCTTTCCTCCCAAGTCCACAAAGTCCCTCTCAATTCTGCTTGAGACCTGGCGCCCCCATGAGTCCCCGTCTCCTTCAGAAACAGGCAGTCCTCCATATGTGACGGGTAGCTTTTCGTCTTCACTGCGATCACTGTGCTGGGCATCCGGAGAGGCAGCAGCTGTGCCTTTCGCTCCCTTCCTAGGGCCTGGCACTGTGCCTGGCCCACAGATGTTGGATAGATGCTGGGTGAAATAAGACCCTTACCCTGTCCAATCAGGGGAGTCCAGAGGTAGTGAGGGAGCAGTGGGCAGGGTGAGGAGGGGAAGGGAGAGACGGGTAGGAGGCAATGTTCAGGTCACCTCACAGGCTGGCCGGGGTGGTGGGCCTGGCCGTGCTGGCTTAGCATTACTTGGGACTGGTCCTGAAGAGCCTCCACGTGCTCTGGATCCTTCAGTCCCCGCATCTCTAGGGGAGAAGTAACACCAGTGAGTTCCCCTCCTGGGGGCTCCCCAGCACCCCACAGTCACTAGCAGGGGACCTCAGGAGAAGGGAGCCAGGCCACACCTCTGCACCCATGTTGGGTTGTGGAAGGAGAAACAGAAGGAAGTCACTGGAGTTCCCACCCTTTGCTCTCGGCTTGGGCCAAGACTCAGCACCTGGTTTGAAGAGGATCAGGGCCTTCATGCAGGCGAACTCCGTGGGGTCCACGGCCAGTGCCCGGAACCGGGCGATGGTTTCCTGCAGGAAGCGTATCTCTGCACTGGCCAGTGCCAGGCGGCCCTGAGAGCTGCTGGCGCCAGAGGTCTCAGGCGGGGCCAGCAATGGGCAGTTGTCCAGAGGTAGAGACCACTGTATGGCTCCGAGGAGGAACAACTCACTCCATGCTTCTTCTAGCAGGATCACCTGTGCTCAGGGAGGGTGTACGTGTAATGATGGATACACAGCAACTCAAGTTTAGCCTGGAGCCACTGCCACCTGCTCAGGACTGAAGGGTGGCTCCCAGGTTCCAGAATTCTCTTCTGACCTTAGCCTACAGAGACTATGGCATTCTCCCCCTTCTGGCCTAGGCTCCCAGACACTCTACAGGTTCCATCCAGAACTGCAGCTGGGACATTTAGAAAAGCCTAGAGAGGCAGGGGACATTGGGTGGCCTCAGGGATGTGCCCAAGAGACTGGCTGGCTCCTCCAAGTTGCTCCATCTAAACACTAGGCTGACCCTCAGCCGTGAAGTCCTGGCCACTTGTGTTCCACGAGGGAACTCGAGCTTTTCAGAGAGTACAGATTGCACTGTCCCACACAGAATGGCTGCAGACCTGAGGGTCTGTCCAGGAGGAACGCCCACCCAGGGAGCCACAGGCATGGCCTTCAAAACCCCAGGTCCCCATGTGTCTCTGGCCATCACGGTCCTAGGTGTGCCTCTTTGAGATGTGTGCATCCCACTGTTACCACCCTGACCATGCAAACCCAACCATCCTCAGCTCAGTGATGTGTGCATTCCCCGTTGTCCCATCTGAGCTGTGTGCATCTCCATCGCTCATGGCACAGAGGTGCATGTGTCCCCAGCCTGGCCCAGCTCCAGCAGGCAAACTGCACTGTACCTGATCTCGGAAGGGCAGGTTGGAGAACACAGGCAGGTTTTTGGCCCACTTGACAGCCATAAAGAGCAGGCGGGCTGATGTCTCATGGATGCTGTCCAGGCCACAGGGGGACGAGGGGCACTCAGGGTCATTGCTGGTCACATCAATATTCTTATCGGCTATGGGGGAGTGGGAGGGAGGATTGTGACCTTACTGCTGCTCTAGAGGTGTCAGGGAAGACCCATGTCAATCAGGGACCCCCTCGGCTGGCCTCCCACTCACCGTCCTCTGGCTCCAGCTTAGCACAGGTTTCGGCTGATATGAGGCTGGCCATGAAGTGGTGGCCTAGGGCCCTGGCTGCAGACACAGGCGTGGTGCTCAGTGGGCTGGGCCCTGCCAGGGTCGAGGAGGCCACCAGGGGCTCAGGTCGGGACTCACTGCTGGACTCCATGCTGTCCAGGTGGACCTGGGCTGTGCTTCGGGGTTGGCGCTCGTTCTGCACGGCTGGGGAGGCAGGAAGGGTCAGTGACCACTGCAGTGGTCACGCTGCCTGTCTCTCTGTCTTTCCTCCCCTTGCTGTGCCCCACTTACCATCCTGGTTCATGCCTGCCTGCAGGCATTTCTTTAACCGGCAGGCCTGGCACTGGTTGCGATGGGCCTTGTCCACTGGGCACATCCCTGCCCCCACCTGACACCTGCAGAAGACAGAAAGCCCCAGGGCGGTCAGTGTCTCACCCAGGCCCTGGACCACAGCTTTGGTCATTTTTGCCCTAGCCCCACCTTCCCCGAACAACCTCCACCAGGAGGTACCAGGACCCCGGGGACAGGTGGGCAAGGGCTCGTCCCACCTGTAGATGAGTCTCCGTCTCACACTCCTCTTGAAGAAGCCGCTGCAGCCGTTGCAGGCGTAGATACCATAGTGTTTCCCGCTGCTGCTGTCCCCACACACGCGACACTGGAGCAGGGGGCCCACGCCTAAGGGGCAGGGCTGGGCTGGGGTGGGGCGCACTCCCCTCACATCCCCCTCCCAGCACACGGGTTCTGGCCCTCCGGTATTCAGACACTGCGCCTCTCGCACCTGCACACATCTCCCCACTCTGTCCTCTTTCCCCTCTCTGGGACAAGGGTAGCCGTCCTGCCTCCATCTCCCCGGCTCCCCTTCTCTCCCCACGGGAGACTCCTCTTTGCTGACAAGCCCCAAGGGTGCGTCTCAGTCCTTCCTTCCCCAGCAGCTCAGCTCAGCTGTCCTGTCCAGCTCTGCCAGCCTCTGTGTTCTAGAATTCTGGTTTTGCCCCATGTTCCCTTGGGGCTGGGACTGAGCTGCTCTGGTTCCCTTCATGTTCCCTGAAAAGCTTTGGCCCCTGCTCTGCTCCCCAAGGACCCAGACCTCACCTCCAGGAAAAGTCATACCTGTTGGATCCTCCCCCAGACCCCACCTGCTTGGAGATTCCTTCCTGGATGCGGTCACAGGTGCAGGCGCTGCTGCAGCCATGGTGGAACTCATTAGAGCTGTTGGCCTGGCCCTGCACGGTCACAGGGCAGTCACTGGCTCGATTTCTCCTCCCCCTTCTGATTCTGCTTTTCCCTTCCCTGGCCTTGGCAGTCCCCCTCTGTCTTTGTGTCTCTCCCTGGCCTCTGTATCTCCTCTGTCTCCCTGCCTCCCGTCCCTCCTGTCCCAATCAGGAGCTTCTGCTTCCCGAGGCCCTATGGCTGCTGCTCTGGCTGAGATCTCTCCTGGGCAGCCGCTGCGCTGTGCACAGGTTATGATCCTCTTAATCTTTACTGTCTCGCAGGGGATCAGCTGGCCACACCTGCGGTGCTACCAAGGTGCCCCTGGAAGCCAGTCTGTCCTGCTGTCCCCGTCCCCTGTCCTCAAGTCCTGTCTGCCCTGGCTTTTAGCTCTTGGTCACTCAAAGCCAAATTTTGAAGGGTGGAGTGTGGATTTCACGTCCCCCAGGACTTGACTCTTTCTGTGGCAGGTGGCACATGTCCGAGGGTGTGCACTGGTTGGTGTGTGTGTGTGTGTGTGTGTGTGCAGGTGTGCACCCATGCTGTGCTATGCCTGGCTGGGTCCCTGTATGTGGGGGTCACTTTGGTAGTTCTCATCCAAGTCCCTTGATAAAAGGGTACATGAGGACTGTCATTTGAGGCTCCTGTCCCACCCACTGGAAGGCTAGCAATGGTCTGTGGTTTGGAGTCCAGTGGGGACTGGGCTGTGGGGTCTGGGATGGCTGGAGGCCTGTGAGGTGGCAGGTGGCTGGCAGGACTTCCTCTCACCCACCTGGACAGCAGGGTCTCCAGGCCAGGAGGGGGTGAGGACACAGCCACCCAGAGCTGGCTCCATGCTCCCAAGTGGCCTCCCCTTCCTAGGCAGGCCCTAAGCCCTTCTTCCCGCCCAGGCCCATGGTGGTTCTGAGGCAGGGGAGGGTGAAGGGGAGCCTGTGCCTCCTTGGACCAGGCACCAGACTCTAGCAGGGAGGGAGCGGAGGGCGGGGATGGACCCAGGTTCACAGCCCCACTCCACTCCACGCATCACAGAGCACGTGACTTTAGCTGTGTGAACTGTCCCCCTCTGTGAAAAGGGCTGACAAAAGTGCCTGTCCTGTAGTGTCGCTGTGGAACCGGATGACTCCTGGATGTGTCATGGTGCCTGGAGTTTAGTGAGCACACTATACAGTGGGTGCTGTCGTTATTTATACTTCTCAGGTTATTGAGACCATCAGAGCAACATCGGCCATGTTTCCTTTCCTTTCCCTGCTTCTCTGCCCCCTCCCCAAGCCCACTCTAGGCCCAACACAGACCTAAGAGCCCCATGTTCTTTTGGGGAGGCCCCCATCCCCCATCCCCATCCTCATGTGCTCACCATGAGACAATCTGGGGCAGGGCAGGCTCACCCTTAGATCTCAGGAACTAATATGAAGCTTCTGGAAGGATCATGGAGTTAAGGGGCTGGGGGGGCGGTGTCCGCCCCTTAAGTAAGCGGGGTTAACCCTCACTGTGACAGAGAAGCACTGTTGGGGATTTGGAAAGTCAGCTTCAGCCTCTGCAGGGTAATCCGCTTTCTGGTGCCTCAGAAGATGGAGGCTTCAGGGCTGAGGCCTGTCACCTGTCCTCACCCCTCCCACCGAGAAGCCCCTCAGAACCATCCGTGGTCACAGGTCTCCAGCTAGCTCCACCTAGCCGCCAAAGCCAAGGGCACCTTCCCTGACCTTGGTTGAGCATTCCCTCCTTCCTGAAGCCCCTCTCCCATTTCTTCTGGAACATGGGTCTGCCCCATGAGCCCTGAGGTGGGCCCCAGCAGGCCTGTCACCCTCTCCCTGGGCAAGCTCATGCAGATTTATGGCCTCCCTGACCACTCTACGCCAGCCAGAGAAGCCGTCAAGGTGGTGTCTCTCTGAGCTAGACCTGGTGCCAATAGCGAGAATATAAAGCACTGGTGAGGATTCTTACGTCAGGACCTGCAGGACTTGTTCAAATATCGTAGCGACCCTCCCTCAACTCACAGCTCAGGACACTAGGGCCCAGGGCTCGCAGTGGCTGAGGTAATTTGCCTCAGGCCACATGGCTACTGAGCAGTGGGGAGGTTGGGGATGACAGGCTTCGGTCCCCAAACTCCTGCTCCCCACAGAACACTCCTTTGTTTTTTTTTTTTTTTTCATTTTTCTTTTATTATTCATATGTGCATACAAGGCTTGGTTCATTTCTCCCCCTGCCCCCACCCCCTCCCTTACCACCCACTCCACCCCCTCCCGCTCCCCCCCTCAATACCCAGCAGAAACTATTTTGCCCTTATTTCTAATTTTGTTGTAGAGAGAGTATAAGCAATAATAGGAAGGAACAAGGGTTTTGCTGGTTGAGATAAGGATAGCTATACAGGGCATTGACTCACATTGATTTCCTGTGCGTGTGTGTTACCTTCTAGGTTAATTCTTTTTGATCTAACCTTTTCTCTAGTTCCTGGTCCCCTTTTCCTATTGGCCTCAGTTGCTTTAAGGTATCTGCTTTAGTTTCTCTGCGTTAAGGGCAACAAATGCTAGCTAGTTTTTTAGGTGTCTTACCTATCCTCACCCCTCCCTTGTGTGCTCTCGCTTTTATCATGTGCTCAAAGTCCAATCCCCTTGTTGTGTTTGCCCTTGATCTAATGTCCACATATGAGGGAGAACATACGATTTTTGGTCTTTTGGGCCAGGCTAACCTCACTCAGAATGATGTTCTCCAGTTCCATCCATTTACCAGCGAATGATAACATTTCGTTCTTCTTCATGGCTGCATAGAATTCCATTGTGTATAGATACCACATTTTCTTAATCCATTCGTCAGTGCTGGGGCATCTTGGCTGTTTCCATAACTTGGCTATTGTGAATAGTGCCGCAATAAACATGGGTGTGCAGGTGCCTCTGGAGTAACAGTCTTTTGGGTATATCCCCAAGAGTGGTATTGCTGGATCAAATGGTAGATCGATGTCCAGCTTTTTAAGTAGCCTCCAAATTTTTTTCCAGAGTGGTTGTACTAGTTACATTCCCACCAACAGTGTAAGAGGGTTCCTTTTTCCCCGAATCCTCGCCAACACCTGTTGTTGGTGGTGTTGCTGATGATGGCTATTCTAACAGGGGTGAGGTGGAATCTTAGTGTGGTTTTAATTTGCATTTCCTTTATTGCTAGAGATGGTGAGCATTTTTTCATGTGTTTTTTGGCCATTTGAATTTCTTCTTTTGAGAAAGTTCTGTTTAGTTCACTTGCCCATTTCTTTATTGGTTCATTAGTTTTGGGAGAATTTAGTTTTTTAAGTTCCCTGTATATTCTGGTTATCAGTCCTTTGTCTGATGTGTAGCTGGCAAATATTTTCTCCCACTCTGTGGGTGTTCAGAACACTCCTTTGACTTTAGCAGCTGGAGTAGCTGGGCTGGGGCCAGGGTGGGGAGGGAGAAATAGGAAGCACAAATCTTGGAGACAGGACTGAGGAGGTGGCAGAGGGAAGCATTAAGAAAAGGACAAGCTTAAAGAAAGACACTGTGGGAGAGGAGTTTGTTTCAAGATGGGAGCTACGGAGGAGAAAGAGCCAGGAAGAGGGAGAGGAGGGAAACTGGAGGTGGGTATGACTCAGTGCTAACTCACCCCAGAACTTCCAGTGAGGCCCCTGAGCAAGCAGGAGGGCTGGGCGGGAGGGCACCCGGAGCCCCAGGAAAGGGGCTGCTGTGTAGACACAGGTGTCACCTGAAGGAATCAGGACCCAGGGCCTAAGAGGAGCTTGGTGGGAATATTGCTCTCAAGCTTGGCTTCGTATCTTCCTGGTTGTGCGTGCTTGGGCTCCTGCTGCACCTCAGTTTCCTCATCTCTCAAATGGGTGCGTGTGCCCTGATGGGATCACAAGAGGTGCACTGGGAAGGGGCTCTGGGGCTGGAAGGGCTGGGACCAAAGGGCAGAGGTCGGAGTCTTTCCTTCCCTCTGAGGAGGTCTTTGCAGGCCTGGTTTGAGGGTCGAGGAGGGACAACTTCTGAGGTGGCCTTGTGAGGAAGGGACTCGGTGGGGGGGGGGTCTGCAGCCAGCTGAGGTTGGAGACCGGGCCTTCACAGGCGTGTGCCCAGGAAGGGGCAGAATTGTTCCCGAATCCTCAGCAGGGTGGCAGGTACTAAAAGAAGGTGACCGAGGACTGGCCATGGCTGTGCTTCCTCCCCACAAGGGCACCGGACCAGGCAGCCCATGGGGGAGGTGCAGGAGTCAGGCAGGGGCTGTGCGGGGAAGAGGGGCCCCTCCTGCTGTACCTGCTGTTCCTGCCGATCCGCCCTTCCTCAGCCCACCTGTTCTCCCCTTGTAGAGAGTGCATGTCAGAGGTCACGTCTGCTCCTTAAGCTGCACCTCTCTCTGGGTCCGCACGTCCAGATGGGAGATTCCAGGGTTTTGGTTTAGCTGCGCATGTGGCTCTCAAGGCACTTACTGGACAGGAAGGCTTCTGAAATTCGGCTGTGACTTCCTGACACTCTGTCGTGGCTGGTACTTAGGATGGAAAACAATATCAACAACGAAACCCGCCAAATAAAGGACACCCGCCGCTTGACAGACGCACTTATTTTCACTTTGTCTTGTCCCCGTCTCATCCTTTGCATGCCGAGAGCTCCTCTCTCAGCCTGGCCCTCCGTTCTTTGGCAGGTCAGGCACAGCTGCCACCAAGCCCTGTGTTGGGCAGAGCCTGGAGGAGGGTGGGGGGGTGTCTCCCCCAATCTGTGACCGCCAGCTGCTGGGGCAGACGCCAAAGGATTACTCAGCTCAAAGCCTCGATCTGCTGACAAAGCCACCAGAGGCCACCCTATCACTAATACAATTATTTCCCCCAGGGGACAGGTCAGCAACTTCTTCTGACTCCCCGGAGGCCTAGGGGATGTGGGGGGGGGGCGAGCAAGAAGGTGGTGTCCATGGTTCAGGCTGCAGAACTGACCTCCTTCTGAGGGCCCTGGCGGGTCAAGCTCTTGTCCCTGTGTCACCAGGCTGTCAGACACCGCGTCAACACCTCCCTGAGGAGGCCCGAGGCGCGGCTGCCCCTGCCC